TGGCCAGCCAGTAGCCCTGCGACGCAAATTGGCACAAAAAGCCAGGGGTCCCCAAAGCGGAGACACTGAGCAAACGTCCCTGAATAGATGCATCTGCGAGCCTGTCGAAACGATCCCAGCCATCCTAACAGAGGCTAGCGCCCGAGAGCCCAATGAGGACTCAAGCCATATTCTACCCTTCCTTTTTGGCATCCCTTTTAACCACAAACCTCCTCTGGAACCCCATCCAACAAGAATAAGCCCAAGGTGTATTTAAACTCGGTGTCTGTATTTAAAGGAAACTCCTAAAACACCAACGAATCCGCCGGCTCGGCCGGCGTGTCTTGTCAACATTCTTGTATGTAGTATAGTGCCGTGTTGTAGAATTGTTCTTTGGCGCGGATTTTTGCCTCGTCTAAACTGAAGTCACCCCCCCCCTCCAACACCCAACGCAACCTTAAGCACAAGCACAAGCGCAAGTAAGCGAGATCACGCGTGCTTGCTGCGCTTGCGCTTCGATTGTCTTAAGTTTAAGCACAAGCGCACGTACGTAAGTGAGATCGCGCGTGTTTGCATGGCTGAAGCTGCGCTATGCATGCATGTGCTAAACACAGCGCAGAAACATGCAAGAATGCCGATTGGAACAACTATAAGAAACGCAGGTGTTTGCATTGCGTGACTGTGCAACTGATGCTACCAGACACGGCTGTAGCGCTCATGCTTTATTCTATTGTCCTTTACTCCCGCGAGGTGCGCTAGAAAAAAATGACAGCCTGAAGCCGCGGGAGCCGGCGGAACACGCCAACGGCGGTTAAATAAAAGCAAAAGACCTGCGTGTCTCAGGTCTCTCAGGTCTGCCTCTCGGTTGCCCGTGCGCATGCGCTCCCCGGGGTCCATGGAGTACCTCGTGGACCTCGATGTGTCACAATTGGAACTTGGACCCCCAAAAATGCCCTTTGTCTCCTTGGTGGTGTCAACCTTTGATGAAAACCAAAACGGGGCATCTTCCGAGAACCAAGAAACGCAGAACGCAATTAAATATTGCCTTTGGAGTCTCAGGAAGTAGGGAATTTGAAGAGGGAGGCAACATGGAAGGGGTTCTTCGAGAAATAGTTCTCCAAACCCCTATCCTGTCAACTTCCATTCTTGTCGTTTGGACAAGCAACCATCTAGAGCTAGAAGAAGCACTACTGATGGAGCGTCTTGGCCGACGTGACTTGGGCAGAGGTGTGTCCTCTTTCGAAAATTCACGTCCTCGCACGTAAGTGAATCATATACGCAGGGAATCTGGCGGAATGCTCCTACGAACCCTACCAGCACGCGAGCAAAGCGCTTGGCAAGGGTTGTCCCCAGGTTTTGTTGGGAACAACAAGACACAAGAGGAACTTGTCAACGAAATACAGCCTTTCAGCAAACTTCGGGGCCTTGTGGGACCCCTACTGCGCAACCAGCATGTCCTTGAACATCTGGGCTGATCAAATGACTAGCCTGTTCCTATACACTATACAATCCACAACTGACTTCCTGAGTGGATGGGCCTAAAAAGTCCCCAAACTTGTTGACCAAAATGGTCCAAACTCAAAAAAAGTCTTTCCAGGGATTGAGATCTAAAGCTCTTGGTCAATCACGAGGCTGACGTAGCGGGCCCTAAGGTGCCAGGCATGCTGGACACGTCGTAGTCCGCCATCACCTCAAGCTTCGACTTGAGACACGGAGCACTTTTAGGCTGAGGGCGGGCCGTAAACAAAGTACCAAAATGAGCCTAGACTAGTGGCTTCTTGGATGCTTCTGGAAAATGATCTTCCTGGACAACTCGTTGATTTCAAAAGAAACCGTATTCCGAAGCAAAAAGCGGGTCCGCTCGGCCAGTGGCATCACCAACCTCGCCTCCCCAGCCCCTCTTGAGACCTTAAATGAGGCACCAAAGAAAACAAACGAAACCCAAAGAAACAAGCAGCGAGAGCTAAGGGGCAACCAAGTGAACCCCCTGCCTAAGCCCAACTTTGAACAAATCTCCTGGGGTCCCAGCCCCATCCCGTCCGCTCAAGATCTTCCTGGGCTCCGGGCACATAGATCCTGCACGAAGATGTAAAACCTAAGGCGCGGCCCACCCGTGGTGAAAGCTTTGAGAATCAGACTCCGGATTTGTCACGCTGGGGGAAGCAGGTCCAGCTGAACCTCGTTTGAGGAAGTCTCCTCTGGCTTGGGAGGGCGACAGAGGTTGAGTTTACGATTTGCTCCTAGGCGTTTGCCCCAAGCCCCGCCTGGCAACGTCCTTGTGACTTGGATCCCAGGACCCTCGTCACGAGAGCCCCAAATCCAATGTCCCAATCCCTTGGGTGCGTGATTTTATTTCCTCTGGAGACACACACAAGAAGAGTTCAGTGCTCGAGCTTGGCAATTCACGGACTCCCATGGCCACCCGAGCGCCGCGCAAGCGGAGGACGCCTTCCAACTCTGGCGCCTCGCTTGGGAGAGGAGGGTTGCCTTCCCACCCGTGGCACTGAACCCTCGCCGGGCTCAGTGACCCTAGAACTGGGGAACCCCTTTCGGGATCATCATGTTTAAACGGGACCCCGGCCTTAAGAAAAATCTTCCAAAGTACTTTTCCTGTTTTGCAACATCTCCCGCGTGCCGTTGGGCGTGAAACACTGCACAACATGCCAAATAACAGGTTTCGGAATATCCCAGCTATCGAAGTGAACATATGACACTTTGGAGACGATGCCCTTAGCTGCCTCAAACCACATGGCCATAGGTTCTGGCTGCGTCTTGCCACAGTCCCCTTGCCAGCGTCACCTGTTCCCTCACAACTCGAAGAACAGAAAAAACGCTCGCGCAACCCCGAAATCAATGCCAAGCATTTGGACACCATCACCTTTACTTATAAAACCCCTTCACAAAAGCATGACCAACAACAAATAAAAACAAGCATAACAAAATATAACAAAACAACATACATGTGCATATATGTATGAGCACACATACTTGTCAGGAGCACCTGCCCCAGGGGAACGCGGCTAAGCCGTTCACCCAAACTTCCGAAACTTCCTGCGCCGGCCGCGCCTGGGGCGCCACATTGGGCCTAGGGCAAAGCGGCGTTTCCGAGATCCAGGCAAACAAACATCAAAAGTTAGGCCCCCAATCCCCACAAATGTCGGTGCACAAACAAAATATTACCGCCCCCCTCTGGGTTAAAAGGCTCCCTGTTTCCCTCCCAGAAATTCAAAGTAAAACCCGACAATGGCTTGCCACAGAAACGTCCAAACATTTCTGCGCCTCTCCCAAAACACCTCACGATTAGAGGTTCCCCCTGCAGCACCCCAGCAACAAAAGCATGCCAGAAAAAAAGGCTGTCCTTTTTTGCCTTGTGTTCGCTCAATCTGTGCTGAAGCCATTTTTTGACCCCTCAAGTTATGATAAGGTTTTCAGGCTCACAAAGAAGACCCCCCCCCCCCACCCCCAGCGCCCCCTTATGAACAGAAAGCCACCCGCGATCAAGCAGCGCCCTTTTGGGCTCAAAAATGCTTCGTTTGCCCTTGAAACTCCTGTTGCCCAGAAGGGGTCAAGAAGGCAAGGACCGAAGAGGTTCTGAAGGTTCCTTGTTCCAGCTCCGTCGGCTGGGAAGCGGCCAGAAATAAAAGGACAAGGACCTTGGATGAATCAGGGGGGTTCCTCCAAACCATCTCAGTTTTGCGGGTCGACAACGGCGAGGGCCTTCGGCTTTGCGGCCCCAAACACCTCTTTGGGGACAGCATGTGGGTCCCCTGCAAGATGTTGAGAAGCAATCGTTCCATACTCTAATTGTTTAAAAAAAACCAAAAAAAAACATCCCGGGAAAACAATTTCTATTACTAGGGGTCCCCTGGTTCTGGAGGGCAGGTTTTGGAGGTACCTCTTGCTCTTTGTAAGCTTGCTTGTAACTGTGGTCCCCCCTTTCCGGTCTGTGAAATCGCATCAAAGGTCCATTTCCGAGTAAGGAATTTAAACAGCAAAAGTTCAAGCTCCGGCTCGAAAGTCGAAACTGTGTAGTGCGACCGTAGTAAAGGAAACGTACTCCCAGAGCTCCTGCTCGAAAGTCGGGCGAGGTCGCAATTAGTCCTTGTTCTCGTCGTTCGGCCGCTATATTTGCCGTTGCTTACTGTCCGGCAAATGCACGCACTCAAATAAGAGGACCATGGAGGACCCCAAAAAGGAGGCTCCTTGAGAAGAGACTGCTTCCGTACCGAGAAAGGGAGGGAACCCAAGCTCAGTTACTTCCCGAGCGCTGTTAGCTTGAGGCGGCGGCAAGCCGGCAGCGCGGCGCATGACTGGGCCTCACAAGTCGGGAAGTGAAAAGGCAAAGGAATTCCTTCTCTCAGTTGCTCAAAGTGAGTTCTGCATGTGGGTGTCTTATTCCGCAAGCAGCTGAAAGCCCAAGCAGAAGGGTACTTTTTGAGAACCCGAAGCAAACATGGAACCTGAAGCGGCCCGTCATTTTTGCTCCAGGCACCTCCCTGGGTTCCCTTTCGGCTTGTTTTTGCAAGGCTTCCTTTTCAAAAATGTTCAGAAGTGAAGCCAAAGGGGGACCCTGGAAGTTCTTTGCGATTCAAATCACGCCTAGCTGGGCGTTGCGACTTCGTTTCAGAGCTTCAGAGCTTCGGGCCCGCTGGATCGGTGAACAGCTGGTTGCCTCTCCCAAAATGGTCCGGGAGTGAGCCGCAGGAAATTCGGGAAGCCACAGGCCCGGCCCAAGGTTTGAAGGCCGAGGGCTCGATGGGTCCAGCAACAAATACCAAACAGATCCCACCAAGTCCCCTATCCCGGCTTCCTTTCACGGAGTGTCCTAGTGCTGTAAAGGCCGACATGTTCGGGAAATGGGGTTGTGATGCCAAAACAAAGTTAGCCATGAACATGAGTATTCTGTTAGTAATTAGTTAATTTGCGCACTTTTGTTACTTTGGGCTGTTTGGCCCTCAGCTAACAAACCATCGCACAGCTCCCATTTTTCTCTCGCACCGTCTCCAGCTGCATCAGCTGCATCAGGCTCCTCCCTGCGGATCGAGGGTGGAACAAGTACGGCGGCTGCAGTGGCCCCCCTTTTTCTTGTAGTTACAAGTGGGGCAAACAACTCTCTTCTCGCATTTCTGGCACCACTTCAACATGCCCTTTCCCAGGCATTTAGCGAAAACTTGGACATGTCAAGGGGCCTCTTTGTTCAACTGGCTGGTGCTCCACGGGCAAATGGCTGTGGCTCAAAAAACCGGTACCAAAATGGAATGGTAAGGAAACGTGGACCAAAACCCGCGTAACCCCTCCTGTTTAATTTTGAGCCACCCCCAAATCTCCTCGGAGTGCCCAATGCTCACAAAAGGCATGCAAATAAAGGGTTACCCTCCCCCACAATCAGACTGTTTTCCTCTTGGGGAACCTCTCTGTCCACTTTCATGATTGTTGGACAAAGGGTAACCTTTTGAAACCTTGATTAAACATAGGCCACATGGGGAGAAACAAAGAGTCAGAATTATATTTGCTTTACATTAGTAGGTCAATGGCTATATCACCTGAACGGAAGAACCTCCGAGAAAGGAGAGCGGGTGACTGCAAAGCGGCCAGCGGGTTGAAAGGCGAAGATCTAGCGCACAAAGACGAATCCAGATCTACGGGTGAAAGGATGCTGTCAATACTCTTTTTCAGCAGTTCCGATTCAGAGATGTCGTGCCCCAAATGCTCCGTCAATGCGCCGGAGCGAACAACATGCATCTTAATCAGCACTACAAATACCCCCAAACCATTCCCGCACAAATGCCCATGGGAGGCTTCATTACATTCCTGCCTGTAAGTGATGCGACCAAGAAACTGCTTCTCTCACTGTGGCGATGATATCCACCAACATCCCCTAACCTTTGGCGAACTTCCAACATGACCCCCTTAATGAACACACTCACAAGCAATCCCAAACGCGCCCGCGTCCAAGGGTCATCTGACACCAACCCTATTTGAAATACATAAGGACAACATGCCATTGAGATAATTTGTGCCACCAGCAGGCTTTCTACATTTTGAGTTCCAGCAAGGCCTGCAACAGAGTCGTACAAGCGAAGAAGCATGCCCCACACATTGCGTGAAGGAAGCTTTACTTGTGAAGGAACTTGCTTGTGAAGGGACCATTGGAGTGATGCTGCTCGAGGGGCCTGGCTCTTCAGGTGAGGCCCCCTACCAAGCCCAGCCCAGCGTACTCCTGGTTTCAAAACAACTTACCTTACCTTGCCAAGGTTCCTCAGGCTTTCAGAGGCATCAGTGGTTAAGGAAAAGCCTACCGTATCCGAGTGGAGAGTCAGGGCAAAAGCAACTGCACATCGCACCCGCTGAACCCTCCCTGCATCCAAGATTCAATAGTGCCTGCGATGCTCGGGTGCCAGCGAAAGCTCAAATCCCAAACCCGCCTCAACCCAAAGGGGGTCGACTCTTCGCCCTTTTGGCGAACTAGTGCCAAAAGGTGCCGAGTCTGAAAAAAACAACTTACGAATCAGCTGACGAGCATGCGTGGAAACCAACTTCCTGTGGCCTCACGTACGAAGGAGTGGAATGGCTCATTTGAAGGGCAACCAAAGCTGAAATTCACATGACTTGCACGCGGTCGTCCCACGCCCGACTAAGGCCACGAAAAGCCGTGCATTCCTCGCAGGTTGCTAAACAAACGGGCACTATATTACCATAAGTCGCATTGCATGGCACCCGTAGAGGGGGGGGAGTTCAAAAAGGACCAACAGTTTTATGCCTCTCATTGACTTGGAACCCGGTACTTTGGAGGTTAAGAGCGGGCTCCAATTGACTGTGGGCTCCCCCCTTAAACAACAAAAAAACATGCACACACAACCGCTGAAAGGATGAGCGATGTACCAACCCACCACCCACGGCGAAAAACCAATGGGTCAACTCCAAAGTGAGGCTCCTGAAGGCGCATCGTAGCCCGGCGAAAGGCGATTTCGAGGAACGATGCGCAAACCACACGTCAGAGTGCAATCGCAGATCAGAGCGCAGAAGTCTAAGAGCGCATAACGTAATGTAGGAAAGAGCGGAGCGAAGGAAACGAGAGAAGAGCGGAGTGAAGTGGGAAAAGAGCAGAGCGCACGAAGAGTGGGCAGAAGAGAGAAGAGCAAAGAAAAGAGCAGAGCGAAGAACAGCGGAAAGAGGAGCTAGAGAAGGGAAGAGAGACTAGCGGAGCGAAGAGAAAGAAGAATCTGGCAGCAGAGCGCAGAGCAAAGAGAAAAGTGGGCAAATGCCGGACAGCCTTGCGAGCGATCCAGGGGGAGTCGAGCCTACAAGGCGGGTAGGGGGGGCGCTGGGGCGATTCGAAGGCAAAGTCGTCATCCGAAGCCAAACTTCTTGGACCGCAGCAAGCGCGCGAACGTTGACATGTCAGAGTTCTGGGATTCCCTGGGTCCGCTTGCAGCTAGACAGGCTCCAACAAAAGGCGAGCTGTCGTGACAACTGCGACGACCATTGTGGTGTTGAGGGCTTTTTCAGGATCCTTTGGGAAAGCTCCCTTGCCCTTCAACTGGGGCTGGTGTTTCTTCAAATGGCTTCCCCAATGACAGGTTTGCCTTTTCGAGCGATGCCCGCTTCCGCTCCGCCTGCAGGCTTCGAGTGAAGGCGCCCCGGCGGCTGTGCACGTGCTGCAGTGCCCTGACATGAGCCACGGTCCAAACAGGCTGCCTTCTGTTCTCAGAGTACCCATTGTTTCGTAGGTTTTAAAGGGAAACCAAAGGAAACCCACCATTTTGTCACACCCAAATGTGACCCTCCCTGGTTCTTGCAAACTACTGTAAACAAACCGGACATAAGCAAAACTACCTCAGCGCTATTCATTTGGGTGAGCTCATTTTACCCGCCAGGTGAGCTTGTGATGACTTGCCCAAAGTCGAACCTCGCAATGCCGAGAAAGCTTCCAACTACTTCAGCGGTCTCCACCTTCAACCCCCAACCGAAGATGACATATGTTCTACCCTCCTCCGGGCCGTTGCCTGAGCTTAGGATTGCCAACGCGCGATGTTGAAACTGGCCAATAGGAATGTAGGGGACTGCGCAGGATGCCGAAGCTCAAACGGTCTGAGCCACTAAGCCAAGAAAGGAAAGCAGCTATACTCATCTATGCTGCACCGGACGTCATTGGTTCGCAGTACGAAGTGGGCAAGTCCTCTAGTTTGAACAGACGCTTACAATGCCCCACCACGGCAACATTGGATTCCAAGCATGCCCATTCGCAGAGCAGTCTTCTTTTGCATGGCCCCTTTGCAAAGTGTTCAAGGGATAACGCCCTCATGATTTGCAGCACCAGCAAAAGGACCCATAAGGATCGAACTCTCTTACCCGCCAAGCTCGGCGTACATGGGGGCATATCTTGCTTCTCACTTGCCGGCGGAAACAAACGAGTAGCCCTCCAACCAACAAACATACAGGGGGCTCAAAATGAGACTGGGGTTACGCAGGGTTTAGTTGTTGTTTCCATTTTTCGTGCGATGACAGCCGAGGTGCATAGATGGGAAAGTCCATCCTCTGCACTTGCGGAAGTTTCTTGGCAGAGTGACCGGCCTAGGGTTGTCATGAAGCAAGGGTCAATTCATTCGCGTGTGACCCTCGATCTCCAGCGCGCAGGAAATAACACACCGCTTGACTAATTACCACACACAACCATCCTCTTGGAAGGTCCCTTGTCCACTTCCAAGGTTGTTGGGTAAGGACTCGTATATTAATATATATATATATATTATATTATATATATATATACACGTGGGTTTGTGTGAAAATAGGGGAGCGCCAAAAAACACGTGGCTTTCCTTTTGTCTCCCTTAAAAACAACCGAAGGGTTCGCGACATCTCGCAGGCCACGCCTCTCGCGCGCGAGCTGCCCGAGTCGCCGCCGCTCTGATGGGTCGGCCTGAGCGAGGGCTATGGGTCACATTGCTCTATCCATCGCTCCATCATCTTGGGGAACCCAAATCGAAACCCTGAGTTGGTGCATTTCTTCAAAAGTAATGGAGAACACACACACACACCACAATCCAAGAAGGGTTCCTGGTTCCTAGATTCTTAGGTCATGGTGCTTCAGGTTCTGAGAGGCCACAAGGAATCCTTAAAAACAAAAACCCCCCCCCCCCCCCCGCCGGATTTTGTTGACACCTCCTGCGCCAACTTTCCGCGAATCTCGGGGTCCCCGCCAGGCGCCGCAGGCAGCCCGCGAAGCCGGAGGCCTCCGCTTCGCTGGCGATCAGGCAGTGGGCGTCGTGGATGTGCTGCTGGCCTGGCGGCGTTTTGGAGCTTCCGTCTCTCTTCTTCCATTTGCTTAAGCTGAAAGACGCTTCCTGAGTTGACTCATTGATTGGCCAGAAAAGGTCGAACACTTTCTGATTTTCCACCAAAATGGTCTTCCCAAAAAGTGTGAGGTCCATGAGCTCGGGAAGTGAGGATTGTTTTTGTTCGGTCCGCCGACCCTTTAAACGCTGACTTCCTAAAATTGAGCCAGAACTAACGGATAGTTAACCCAGAACTAGGGGTTCATACCCAGGGTTCATGCATGGGCGTATACATTCAGCCTTCGATGATCTGCTCGGAAGCATCTTTTGGAAGTCAAGAACAGAAAATAGAAGACGGTCTTAAGCAAATGGAAGTCCTTTGGGTTCTAAGAAACCCGGCAGAATTGCTTGCAGGACTTTTTACAGGACCAGTGTCAATCTGGCTGGCTTCTTGGTTTCTATGAGTCCCAAAGAGAAGCAGGAGGAAATCTGGGCCCACCATTTTCACATCACATACCCAATTGGTGGTTTGGAGACAAGAACCAGCTCCTTTAAGCGGTGACGAGGCGAGCGCACTTTTGCGAGATTGACGGCCGGAGAATGCTGTTGGAGGTGTTGGTGTACAAACGTTGGCATGTTTTCCGCTATCTAGGGTCTAGTCACGGAAACTGGCCCTCAACCACAAGTTGCCACAACCATGCGGTCGCCCTGTAGCTCCCAGGTTCCATGTTCGCGGCTTTCTGTACAAGTGCTTTCTCCAAATCCAACTCTGGCTGCGGTAAAGGCTACCCGAAAAAGCCAGTGCTTAAGGGGTCCTGGGACAGAGAGTAGGGATAATAGGGATAGAGGTTTTGTGGCCCATGTTTCTCTTGAAGCGAAGCCCACCAGATTTGTGGCCAGACTGAGGTCTTCAAAACAGTTGACTTGTTGCTGGTTAAAGGGGCACGTGAAGGAAGCTTTAGTCAAGTCATGATCAAAACCTGGCATGAAAGTGGCATACCCGACGCCATGTAAAGAATCGATCTCAGCACCCGTTTCTGGTTGGGACTGTCCCTAAACTTTAGCTAAGTCAAATGAGGACCCTTTGATAGACATGGGGATTGATGTCTACCCTGGCAAAGCTTGGCAATGGTCAGCCAAACCCCCGGTGGATATGGGAAAATCAGAAGGGGCACTGGATGTACCTGACTGCCTGAGTGGGTTGGCCAACTAAAGCAACACAACTTGTTGTTTACCACTAAAATTGTCCAATTCAAAAAAGTGACCAAAGTCTATGAACTCAGGAGTCCCTTTGTTTGATGAACTAGTTCGCCCAAGGCAGACTTCAACCCAGGGGTGGTTGATTTTAAATAGGGAACCCCTCCAAGCCCAAGCTGAACAAAGGGCTGCCACCGGAGGTGGGGGTGGCCATTGCCCCCCCGGCCTGTCCGGCACTTTCGCAGGGGATCCAGGGAGAGCTCTGCGGCGCTGAGGCTGATGCCTCGCAGCATCTCCCTGGTCCTCGGCGGGTCCCAGTCCTTGTTGGAGCCACCCCCGTTTTTGGCTGGTTTTCAAAGGGAACCAACAGGAAACCGAGCATTTGGGTGGTTTTTAAGCATGCCGAAAGGAAACCGTTGGCGTTTTGGGGAGTTGCCCCATTGTAAGACACCCCCGAATTGCGAAAGCCACCGGCTCCCTTGCAAATTTGGGTTTGGTCTCACAAAGGTTGAACAGGTGACAAGGGCGCAAATAAATCAAGTAATAAAAATAGACACACGGCACGCGCACACACATACAAGACATGGAGAGGCCGCTGAGCAGGCTTGGGTTGGGATCAGCACCAGTCAAACGTTGTAGTTTTAGGCGGGACGGAAAGCTCTAAGCCAGATGCATGGAACATTGGGTGTGCCCTTTTTGAGGGACTTATGCTCTTGGGAATGGTTGGATCTGCTACATAACGATGCGCACTCATATCTGGATGCATGGTGTCTAGCTCAAAGAGTGACGATTTCGATCGTTCTGGTTGAAGGACCGGGTCACCAGGTGTGTGTGTGTGTGGGTGCGTGCGTGCGTGCAAATATTCCCAGTTGGTTGGACAGTGATGGTTATAAGTCAGAAAAGGTAGTTGGCGACTTGGAAGGACGTCCTGCTGAAACATTGTATCCGCCCCGCCCTAGCCTGCCGGAACATTGAATGAGCCGGTCACTGGTATGTGTTTTTTAAGCGTGTTTGGATCGTTTGGTTGTTAAATATTCCTGGCCCATCAATTGATTCCCCGGAAAGTGGCCGTCGCTTTTTAGCCAGTCAGCTATGGGCAAGGCGGCAAGCTTTAGCAAGCGATGTAAACAGACACTTGAGTATTTCAGAATTACTTATATACTGTAAGACTCTTTCACAACTCATGTGACCTGCTCCAGCCAGGTGAGTTCCCAACGAAAGGCATGACATGGTTCTACAACATGTGCGGCTCGTGACCGACAAATCGGATTTGGCGCACCCTTTCCCGATAGATGTTTGGGGCAAGTGGCGATAAATTGTACATATTCGAGTGCTTGGACTGGCCGTTAAACAGATAGGCTCCCTAACTAAGAGAAGACCATCAAACTAAACAGACGGAGAGACCACATAATTTTGCCCACTGTTAAGTACCAACAAATCCCCATGAAATACAACGAACATTTCTGCTAACCACACCACTTGCTCAAATCCACACACACCTCCCCCGGCTTTGCACCCAGCCCTCTCCAGTCCTGGAGTCGTGGACCAGCGACACGGGCACCCGCAGTTCCTTGCCCCCCATGGATATCCCACCCTCGAAACGCTGGGAGGTGGGTGGGTTACAGAAAAGCTGCATTTGTTTGAGGACTTTTTCCATGGGTGTCGCTTGAATTTCCAAGGGTCATTTCCAAGCAAAAACACAGGGTCTCAGCGAATGTGTTTGGTAGAGGGCCTGGGCAAGTTTGACAACTACTATGAATACCAATATTCGGGCTTCCCATTGAGAATTTCGGGCAAACTTAGATCTGTTTGGCTCCTGGGTGTGATTCAACCGACTGAGCCAAACTGCCCAAGGAAGGAAGTTCAACTTGTTCTTTGCCTTTAGCTTACTATCCTCCAAAGCTGTCTTTTGTGGAGTTGTTTCATGTTGACCCCATATTAATCAACCCCGGTGTAATCGGGGGTATCCCTCCCTGGCTGTAGTGGGGGAATCACTTTTTATGAATAAACCGAGATTAACTAATATGGCGTCAGGAAAACTAAAGCAAA